CCAGGGGCGGCTCCTGCAGTGGCGGCTGCTCCAGGTGGCCAGGGGCGGCCGCTGCAGGGGCGGCTGCTCCAGGGTCCAGGGGCGGCTGTAGGTGCGGCTGCTCCAGGGGCCAGGGGCGGCAGCTGCAGTGTCGGCTGGTCCAGGGGCCAGGGGCGGCCGTCCCAAGGGCGGGCGCGGGGCAGGGCAGGGCGCCGCGGCGAGCAGAGGCGACCCCGCGCGGGTCCCAGTGGCGACGCGCGGGTCGCGCGGGGGCGTCGCGACGAGTCAGGGGCGACGCGCGCGGGTCCCGGTGGCGACGCGCGGGTCGCGCGGGGGCGTCGCGTCGAGGCAGGGGCGACGCGCGCGGGTCCCGGTGGCGACGCGCGGGCCGCACGGGGGGGGGCGTCGCGTCGAGGCTGTGGCGACGCACGTGGGCCCGCAGAAGCGCCGCGACGAGGCGGGGGCGACTCGCAGGTCCCGCAGGGTCGTCGCGACGAGTCAGGGGCGACGCGTCGCGGGGTCCAGGGGCCGCGCTTCGGGGTCCAGGGGCGGTTGCGCGGGTGCAGAGGAGGCCCGCGCGCGGCCTGCAGGGCAGGGCGGCAGGTTGGCGCTCGAGAGCGCGAGTAGGTAGGCGCTCGAGGGCACGGGTAGGGGCGCACGACGGCGCTAGGAAGTGGGTACGACGGCGCTAGGAAGGGCGCTCGACGACGCGAGGTACTATCAGACACGGTCGCGCAAGGGCGCGGCGGAACGGTGGGCCCTAACCAACGTCGGTTCTAGGTCGTGACCTAGGCGTCAGATACCATGTTAGAATGTTGAACTGAACGAGAATGATTGAACTAGGAAAGTTGGGAGTACAAGTATGAAACCCTAGAGATTGTACCCCCTAAGGCTAAACCCACTACAGCCTACACAGCACAAACATATACAATGTTTGACACACGGAAACCCGCGACCCTACACACAGGAGACATTCCTGGAGGACTACGCTCACCAGCGCGACTCTACGAAGAAGCTTACCGTGGCGCAAGAGGAGGAACTGGCGCGTCGCGAAGCGGAAGAACTTCGCCAACGGAGCCTTGCGGAGTCGCGCGATACATTTGCCTGGAGCGGATTGGGCGAAGAAGAGAGCGCCTCAAATGAAGGGGGGTGGGGGAGCGCTGGCGGATGGGGCATGAGCGACACTGGCGACAACACCGGCGGATGGGGCGCCACATCTGGCGGCGAAACAAGCGGCTGGGGAGCTTTCCGCGAGGACCAAAGGGGGGAAGAAGAAGAAATTGAGGTCGAACCTCCTGTTGTTCCTCTTGGTCGTCCTCCCCGCCGCCCTGCACCCGCACTGCCACCACCTGACATTCCGCCAGGGAGCGACCCTTGGGACACCATCGACTGGGGGAACGAGCCATCCACTCCGCGACGCACCGTCTACGGGCCTGCCCCCGAGCCGCGCGAACCAACCTTCTTCCCGGGAACTATCCCTGGAACCAACATTCCCCTCTCCACCATCCTTGACAGGGAGTTTCTTGCACTAATGTTGACGACGGCGAACGGAGAAGAAGAAGCCGAAGAAGCAGCGGCGCCACCTGCTCAAGCACCTGACGAGGATCCCGCAGAAGCACTCGCGCGCTACATGCGCACCTCTGGATTCCGCGCCGACGACGCCATCGGGCATCAGCGCCTAGGTCACCCCTCGCGCGTAACACTGAAGAACTGCATCGAGGCCGGCGTGTTTGCGCCTGGCGCACTCCTGCGCCCTGATGGCACCGAAGTAAGGGGCACAACACATCCGCGCAACTGCACCGTCTGCCCCGAAGCCGCGCTGAGCCACCAGCCGTTCCCCCTGCTAGAGCCCGGAACTAACCGCTACACCAAACTGGAGAAGGTGTACAGTGAATTCCTCAACGTGGGACACTGCGACATCAACGACGAACTCTACACGCTCACCTTCGTCGACGCCGGAACGGGCTACGTATGGGTCGTAAACGTGGAAGCACGCAGCAGGGCGTACGAAGTGTTCCGCCTATGGCTGGCGCACGCGCAGCGGCAATCTGGGGAGAAGTTGAAGATCTGGCAATCTGACGGCGCGGCGGAGTTCAGGAGCAAGGAGCTACAGGATTACCTTGCGCAGAAGGGAATCGAGCACCACATTTCTCTCCCCTACGCACACCAGTAGCAGGGCGTAGCCGAGCGCACGAATCGCACCCTCGTGACAAAGGTGCAGGCGTTGATGAAGCAGTCGAAGCTTCCGCCGACCTACTGGACCTACGCAATGCACCACGCCGTACGAGTGCACAACCTGCTGTCAACCACCGCCATCTCTGGCAACTCATCACCGCATGTGAAGTGGACGGGGACCAAGGGCAACACATCCATGCTCCGCGTGTGGGGATGCATGGTGCAGTACCGCCCGCCGACATCGACTATCGGGAAGTTTGCAAGCCGCGCGCTGGGGGATTCATCTCGGCATCAGCCACGAGCACAAAGCATGGCTCATTTTGGACCTCTTGAGCCAGAAAATCAAGAACGTGCGCGATGTCATCTTCTACGAGCGGCTCTTCCTTCGGCAATTCCGCGAAGACGAGCAGGCGAACGCGAACCGCGTCTATGCCAACGACGGTCACAGCTACGCCTCACCTGAGGACGAAGCCGTAGCAGCAATTCTGGAGCAGGACCCCAGAAGCGAGTTCACAAGAGGCGATCACGACGACGACGACGACGATTCTCCTGGAGGAGGAGCAGGAGCAGCAGGTGGAAGCGGAAGCGGAAGCGGAAGCGGCGGAGGCGCAGCACCGCCAGCACCACCTGAACCAGAAAGCGACGATGACGATGTGCAGGAAGTCACTCCACAGCACCGCCACGACAGCACAGTTTCGGGACTCCAACTTCTCGGGCTCCACACTGCCACCTCAACGGCGCCACGTGTCATCGAGCCGAAGAATCTGCGCCAAGCACTCACGGGGCCACATAGCAAGGAGTGGCGCGAAGCAATGGATGCGGAAATTAAGGCACTTGAGTCCCGTGATACCTGGGTGCTCGTCGATCGAGCGGCGATCAAGGGAAGGAGGATTCTCTCCGGGAAATGGGTCTTCCGCGATCGAGCGATTTAAGGCGCGCTGCGTAGTGCGCGGTTATGATCAGTGGCACGGCATTGACTTTGACCAGACGTTTGCACCGGTCAGCCATCATACCTCCGTCAGAATTCTCCTTGCCATCGCTGCAGCACGACACCTCCCGCTCCGACAAATCGACGTGAAGAACGCGTTCCTGTACGCGTTAGTGGATGCAGTAATCTACGTGGAGCAGCCGCATACATACGGCGAAGGGGATTCGCGTGTCTGCCAGCTGCGAAAGTCCCTTTACGGGATCAAACAGGCGCCGAGGCTCTGGCAGCAGTACCTGCACAACGTACTGCTTGAAATCGGGTTCAAGCAGTTGCCTCACGATCCTGGGATGTATCGCCGCGATTTCCGCGGCGAATACATCCTACTCACGGTCTACATCGACGACCTCCTCTACACAGGATCAAGCAACGAGTTGCTTGAGCAGTTCGAGAAAAACCTCGCAGGACGCGTCGACATCACCTGCAACCATGACGTGAAGCAATTCCTCGGGCTCAACATCTCCTACTCGCCGGAAGCCATTCATCTCTCAGCAGCCAAGTACGCAGAGGAGCTTAGCAAGCGCTTCAACATTGCGCCTGCACCACTCTCCACCCCTTACCGCACTCCAGGACCCAACCACAAGCCTGACAACAAAGCCCTGTCCCCTGCTGGGCTTGACACCTACCAGCAGCAGTTGGGATGCCTGCTCTTTGCATCTGTTACCTGCAGGCCCGACCTCTCCTACATCGCGAGCCAGTTGGCTCAGTACTCTCACAAACCAACGGCTGAGAATCTACTAGATCTCCAGCGGGCACTTCAGTTCTTCATCTCCACGCCTAATGTTGGGCTCAGCTACTCCACCATCCCAACCTTTTTCAACCTCATCGGCTACGTGGACGTTGATCACGCCGCTGACCCCGACAATCGACGGTCCAGGACAGGTTTCCTTTTCCGCCTCGAGCCCAGCGGTCCCATCTCCTGGAATTCACAGAAGCAGGAGCTGGTTGCCCTGTCATCGGCGGAAGCTGAATTCATCGCAGCAACAGCAGTCGTTCGCGAAGGCCTCTATCTTCAGGAGCTGCTGCAGGAGGCGAAAATTCCAGCCTCGACGAACTTTCGCCTGCACTGCGACAATCAGAGCGTGATCAGGATCGCGAACAAGCCGGGATTCGTCAACCGCACCAAACACATCACGCTGCGGTACTTCTTCGTCAAGGACGAAGTTGACAAGGGCAAGGTTGACCTAACCTATTGCCCGACGGGTGACATGGCAGCTGACTTCCTCACGAAGAAGCTGTCACGTCAGCAGTACCAACACTGCTCCGAACTCAGCGGAGTAGTCAAGCGGGTCAAGACTCGCTACGGCGAGGAGTGAAGGGGGGTGTTACGAATAGTAATTGTTGAAACATCACTGTGCACTCCTCACCGCAGCAATCGAAGCATGCACTACCGAGAATGGAGACGAAAGGGCGGAAGTGACACGAAGGGTTGCACAGTTACGAAGCATCTTGACCGTCGGGCAGACAGCATCAGGCAGCAGCAGTGGCGAGGATTCTGCCCGGACAATTTCGTAACTGTCTGGAGTCGCACGGTTGGATTTCGCTGTAATAAGGGAATGTACCCCTTAGAGTACATGGCTAGCTAGGTCGATCGGTATTCCCTTGTACCGTACTCTTATTTATAGTGCTGTATTTGCATGTTTTTATTATCTCAAGCATTTTATATTCACTCTGCTATTGAGGTCAAGGGCCCACCACCACCACTACTCAGTCGTGTGCGAACCTTCCTGAGGTGATCCTAGGCACGATCAACTTCTGATCGCAACTATTCCATTCAACAAGTTCAGTTTTAACTAGCTCTCACACAAACTTCAGTTTGACCCTACATAAGAAAATACAGATGCTTCACTCATCCACACACTCACCCATGACTCAGAACCACACCCGCACGAAGCAACTCCCTGCGCGCCCTTTCACCAACCTTGCTTGCCTCCACCTTCAATTCACGCAACTTTGGAAAGTTTCCCAGCAGCCCTCCAATCCCATCGCCAGTAATTCCATCACACGTAAGCATAGTCAAATGCGTGAGCATCTGCAATTTGCTTCTGGCGACCACGCCGTCCGAAAAGTCCTCATTCTGTTCCACTGTTAGAGCATCAAGCAGAGGGCAGGCACGCAGCAGCAGCACCAGCTGCTCCTCATTCAGTCGGAAGCACGACACCAGTGAGAGGCGCTTCAGCCGGCCGAAAACAGCAGCGAGTGCAACAGATTCAAACGACTGCGGCTGGACGCTCAGGCTTGAAATGGTTGAAACGGCAGCAGGAGAGTGGCGGGCAGAAGAGCGGGAAGAGGAGGGAGACAAGGGAAGTGGCAAGGGGGATGCATGAGAGGAACCTTGGGAATCCATGAGGCACATGACAGGCGAATCGGAGGGAAGGGATGGAGGCAGCCAGGTAGGCTCGGGAGTGGTGCGGGTGAAGTGAAAGGCCCGGAGGGTTAAGGAGTGTAAGGGAGGGCAGACCACCTCCACAGGAATTCCAGCGACGCCCTTTTTGGTGGTGCTGCTGCCATCTGATTTGCCTGCCATGCTTCTGCTAACCCGTGCAGCTCTGCTGTTGCCGACTGATTTTGAGGTGCCATTGGCAGCAGCAGTAGCAGCAGCAGCACCAGCACCAGCAGCAGCAGCAGCAGCAGCAGCAGCAGCACCAGCAGCAGCAGCAGCACCAGCAGCAGCAGCAGCAGCAGCACCAGCAGCAGCAGCAGCATCAGCACCACCAGTAGCAGCAGCAGCATCATTCACGGGAGGGCCACCAGCAACAGGGCGAGCAGCCACAAGGCGGCCGTCAGCAGTCCGACGGGGCCGCCGCATGGCTCTGATGCTCGCCAGGGCCACACTCCCCTGCTCGTAAAACTGCTGCAACAGCGACTCCATCACACTTAAAGCCTGCACCCGTGCGTCAACCCCACCCGCACCCCTCCCACTCCCACTCTCACCCTCACCCTCACTCCCTTCAGCACCATCAGCAGCATCAGAACCATCAGCACCGTCACCAGGCGAGTCTTCATCAGAAAGCATCCCATCAAAGTCTTCCAGCCGAGCCAGTCCCCCTTCGCACCCTTCGCCCTCCCCTTGACACGCCTCAAAACCTCTCTCCATAAACACGCCCGCAGTCGTGGCAGCAGCAAACGCCTCTATCACCGCATCCTCTCGCGCTGTCGCCGCGTCTTGCTCCGATACCGCCACCCGCAGCGCCTTGCAGGTGGAAATCGCAGATCTGATTTGATTCGTGGCGGATTTGATCTCCGATAGGGCGTATTCGCCGTGGGCCATTCTGGCCCACCGGGCAGAAGCAGGCACAGTTGTGAAGGCGTTGCTGGTTGCTTCCATGAGATTGGATAAGTCTGTGCATGCTGCCACTAGGTCTGCTCGTGCTGCCGCTGCTGCTGTCCAAATATCTACATACTCCTTCCTAGAGTTAATTGCAAGTGGTGGTGGTAGTGCTGCTGCAGTTGCTGCTGCTGCTGCGGTCCCTGCTGTTCTCTCTCCTGCTACTGCATTTGAAGTAGTTATAGCTCCTCGCACACCCTCTCCCCTGTCAACCTCTTCTGCTTCGCACTCCTCCCCTCTAACTTCCACTCCACCCTTCCCTCCTTCCTCACCCCTTTCCCCCCCTCCTTCATCTCCTCCCTCCCCTCCCTCTCCCCCCCTCCGCACCACGCGCACCAGCATACCCACAAGACTCTCGAACGACACCTGCTGAAGCACCACTCTTTCCTCCACCTCCCCGTCTCCCTCCCTCCCCTCCCTCCCTCCTCCATCCCTCTCATCCCCCTCTCCCTCCCTCCCTCCTCCACCTCTTCCCTCCCCAGTCCCACTCTCACCATCCCTCACCCTCTGCACAGAAACAGTCTCCGGCTTCCCTTTCAAGGAGAGGGACTGCAGAGCATTGCAGTGAGCAAGCATGCTGGGGCAAAAGGACGGCAGCCCAGAGAGGTCCAGTGCGGTCAAGCGGGGTGAGGAGAGGTGGAGGAGGGAACGGAACCCCTGGGAGCTGAACAGGCGGTAGGAGGTGGCGTGGAGGGAGAGAGAGGAGAGGGCAGGGTTGGCCTGAACCAGGGCTGCGAGGGAGTGGCTGGAGACTAAGGGACAGTCATGAATGGTAAGGTGGGTGAGAGTGTGGAGGGAGCGAGAGAGAGTGTGAAGGTCGAAGGGATCAATGGAGTAGGAGAGGAAGGAGAGGGAGGTGAGGGTGGGGAAGCGGTGGAGAGAGGAGAGGCAGGACTGGAGCTTGGTGGAGTGGAGAGTGAGGGATTTGAGGGTGGGGCGGATAGAGGAGGAGGAGGAGGAAAGAGAGGAGAGGGTGGAGGGTGAGGGGTTCCAAAGTGTGAGGGAGGTGAGGGAGGAGCAGCGAGTGAGGGAAGTGAGGGAGGAGCGGCGAGTGAGGGAGGTGAGGGAGGAGCGGCGAGTGAGGGGCGTGGTATGGATGAGAAGGGAGAGGGAGTGGAGAGAAGGGAAGGCGTGGAAAGGAGGGAGGGGGCTGGGAGTGGCATGTCGGTAGATGTGGGGGCTATGACGGGCAAATGGAGAGTCGAGCTTGAGAGATGTCAAGAGCCTGATAGGAGAGGGGGGGAGAAGAAAAGGCATCAAAGGAAGGGAGCTGATGTGGGGGCTATGACGGGTAAATGGAGAGTCGATCTTGAGAGATGCCAAGAGCCTGATAGGAGGGGGGGGGGGGAGAAGAAAAGGCATCAACGGAAGGGAGCTGATGTGGGGGCTATGACGGGCAAATGGAGAGTCGATCTTGAGAGATGCCAAGAGCCTGATAGGAGGGGGGGGGGGAGAATAAAAGGCATCAACGGAAGGGAGCTGATGTGGGGGCTATGACGGGCAAATGGAGAGTCGATCTTGAGAGATGCCAAGAGCCTGATAGGAGGGGGGAGAGAAGAAAAGGCATCAAAAGAAGGGAGGGGGGCGTTATTTGATTGGAAGGTGATGAAGGGGCGACGGGCGAATGGAGAGTGGAGCTCGAGAGATGTCAAGAGGCTGATAGGAGGGGAGGAGAGAATGGAGAGCAACTTGAAAGGAAGGGAAGGAGAGAATGTGGGAGGAGAAAGGGGGAAGACGGAAGGGGAAGACCGGCGAACGGGGAATCGAGTTCGAGAGATGTCAAGAGGCTGATAGGAGGGGAGGAGAGAATGGGGGGATAGAATGGGGGGGAGGAAAGGGGGAAGAAGGAAAGGGAAGACATGCAAGCGATGGGTCAAAGTTCAACTGCGGGGAAAAGAGAATCGGCTCGCTCACGGGCATTGCCTCGCGAGCTTTGATCACACAGCAGCGTTCATGCACTCGTGTGACTCGATATAAGGACGAGATGGGTAAAAAAATCAAATCAAGGAAGTAGCACACTCACGGGCATTGCCTTGCGAGTTTCGTCCACGCAGCAGCGTTCATATGGAACAACCCCCACGCCTCGACAATCTTCAACGTTTCCAGTTTCGGGCAGCCCGCACCGATACTCGCCAGCAGGTCACTTCCCTGGCTCGACAGAACCTCCACGGTCAGCGAAGTTATCCGGGTAAATACCCTCGAAAATTCGTCGAAATCTTTTAGCCACTTGCGAACGTTCGCATGCTTGTAAGGTGAGACGAATTCGAGCTGGAGAGAGTGGGGCGTGCGACGCGAGAGGCGGTGGAGGCGCGAGCAGGAGAGAGCGACGCTGCGGCGATCGCAGGGGTGGTTCGCACGGGCGAGAAGCAGCAGAAGGAGGTCGTCCGGGAGCGACAGCAGGCGACTGCCTTTCACATCATCCTTAAACGACGTTTCCCGCCGCGTTCTTTTCATGTTCGCGAACTAATTTGCGACGGGTAAGGTCGCGCTTGAAAACCTACAGCGGCAAATGCGGGCTCCCTGACGCGTGCAAGAACAGAAGAAGAGAAGGTACTGCCGGAAAAAAACTTGAGAATCATATAACGCGCAAGCCACTACGGTGGAACAACTGAACGTAGCAAAACACAAACGCGCGGGCCGCTCCAATAGGAGAGATAGCAGGCCTTCATGCTTCCGCAAAGACGTAGACGAGAATGTACTGCCTTTGATGGCGATTGATGGCTTGGGGGGAGTACTGTGCGGAATGTTTGAAACTTTGAATCGGTTACAGATATTAGCTTTTCGTCAACCCGTTTCGCGTCGCTCCTCCCACTCACATGCTAAACGGTTTCACGGAACTCCGAAATACGCTAGTCCGTAAAAGCATTAAAGTGAGCGAGCAACATTAAAGCTTACTATAAGGAAATTTCCTTTTCCTTACTTCGCGCCCCTGCTTACCGCGTACATGACCATTCCTGCCATCGGCACCCAACAGTGAAACGTTACCCGCTCGCGACACTCGCCTCGACTACGACTCCCGCCACTGTTCACGATGCGACCCAACCTCACGGTTCGGCTGGTAACCCGCGCTCCGGACTCTCAAAGTTAGAATGCAACGGAATGCTTAACTAGAAAGGAGTTGGGGTACAAATAGGAAACCCTAACATGTTTGTACTCACTAAGGAGCACCTCACTACAGCCTATCACAAATATCAACATTTAACACACCCCCATAGGCTAAGTGAGGGGCATCAAAACAAGCAAGGCAGACAAACGGTCACAAGACCAGTCAAGACAAGAAGCAAAGCAAGCTCAGGGTGGATCTCAAGGACACCACACAAATTCCGAGCACAAGCAAGCGGCCACAAGGCCAGTTCAAGAGATCACTAGGATATATATAGGAAAACACAACAAGCAGAGCAAGCAACAAGACTACAGCAACCGAGGGCCTACCTCAACAAGCCCCAACTGCACACAGAACCTGTGGTGGTCACCAAGCGCCAGGGCCTTGGTGAAGACGTCTGCAGTGTTGGCCTCTGAGGCCACAAAGTCCAGGCGTGCCTGGCCGCGTCGCTGCAGCTCTCGCAGGAGGAAGTATCTCACGTCAATATGCTTCACTCTGCTCTCCAGTCGAGGCTCTCGACAGCGGAGGATCATGGCCTTGTTGTCAACGTACAAGGTCGGTGCAGAGCGAGGCCGCTCACCAAGGTCGGCAAGCAAGAAGGTCAACCAGCGAAGCTCCTGTGCCGCCATGGCACCAGCGTAGATCTATGCCTCTGCACTGGAAGTAGCCACAGACGACGAGCGTGTAGACCTCCACGACACAGCACCAACTCCCAGACTGAAGCAGTAACCCTGAGTCGAGCGCTGAGTCTCCACGTCGTCAGCGTAGGAAGAGTCGCAGTGACCAGTCAACGCCACTGGCTGAGTCCCTCCAAGCACAAGCCCCATGCCTGATGTAGTCGCCAGGTACTTCGCCACCCTCACAGCAGCTGTCCAGTGGACAGGACGGTGTCTCCCAGTCGCAACAAAGCGAGAAAGGATGCTGAGGGAAAAGGCAAGGTCCGGCCGAGTACAAGTCATCAGGTACATGAGGCAGCCCACCAGCTCTGCGTAGGGACCACTGGACTCAAAGGGCTCATCCGGAAAGGGACCAGTGAGTCTGTGGTCAACAGCAAGAGGTGTGGGCTGTGTGGTGGAGAACTGGAAGTCGAACCGCCGAAGGACCTGCTGCACCATGTGTGACTGAGTCAGTGTGATGGTGCGAGCGGCTCTGTCCCTGGTGATCTGCAGGCCAAGGTAGCGCTGCAGTTCACCTAGGTCAGTGCATTTGTGTCTCTTCTGCAGTTCGGACTTCACCTGAGCCAGAGCTGCCCTGTCTGCTGTGGCAAAGACCAAGTCGTCGACGTACACTAGTATAAAGAAAGGAGTGGAACTAGTGCGAACAAACAGCGACGGGTCGGCAGAGGAAGGACGAAACCCAAGGTCACGAAGCGTGGAGCGAAGAGTGTCGTGCCACTCACGGGGCGACTGGCGGAGACCGTAGACTGGCCGTCTCAGGCTCCACTGGGTCCCAGGTGGGAAGGTGTCAGTGAAGCCTGGAGGGCGGCGCAGCCAGATCTCCTCGTGTAGTCGGCCCTGGAGAAACGCAGTAGAGAAGTCAAGGGAGTGCAGCTCGTAGACTCGCTGTGCTGCTACGTGCAGTAACACCCGAAGAGTAGTCATCTTCGGGGTCGGGGCGAAGGTCTGGAAGAAGTCAACTCCCTCACGCTGACTGAAACCCCTAGCCACGTAGCGCGCTTTGAACACAGGCGGTGAACCAGGCGGCCACTTCACCTTGAAGAGCCACATGCCATCAAATACGTTCGCCCTGGGAGGGGGAACTGCGTCGACGTAGGTGCCTGTGCATCTCCAAGACGCTAACTCCGAGGCCATAGCCGCTTTCCACTGTGAGGGCCACGCCCCTGACACTGCCTCGCGGTAAGTACGAGGAGTCGGTATGTCAAGGGCGTCGGGGTCTCCCTCAGGGGATAGCAGCATGGCACAGACAGAGGGAGAAGCAGCTGCCCAGTACTCCAGCTCAGACTCTCTGTCCTCTAGGACGTCACAGCCAAGGGCAAACTCACCCCCGACGGACAGAGGACGGGAGGGAGGAGCTGGCACCACACGGGTGGTGTAGTCAAGGCGACTGGCGGCAGCAAACTCAGCGACAGCGGCAGTGAGAGCCGAGACAGACGACGGAGGGAAACGAGAGTCGGTGACAAGAGTGGCGAAGACACGAGAGACAACAGGATGAACATCGCGGTAGTAGTCAGTGACAGGAGTAGGGGGGAAAGGGAGAGAGGACGGAGGAGGAGACGGGAGAACGGACTCAGGAGGAGGACGACGAAGAGATGAACAAAGGAGGGCAGTGCGGAGGTCAGTAACGGGAGACGAGTGACGAGCACGCGGAGGACAGGGACGGACACGAGAGTGTGGGACACCAGGTGGAGGAGACTGCAGTGGAGGAGAAGACCAGACCACCGGACTGTCGTCAGGAGGTGGAAACGTGGGACCAAACGCTGGAGGGGACGGAGTGTGAACAGGAGGAGAGGAAGGAAGACCAAGGGCCCGAAGGCCACTCACGGGTGGGAACAACTGCCGCTCCAGAGGGAGCTGCGGTGGGCGCGGCTGCGGCGGCTGCTGCTGCTGCTGCTGCTGCTGCCGCTGCTGCTCCAGCAGTTCCAACTGCCGCAACTCCTGCCGCTCCCTCTCCAACAGCACCTGCTCCTCACGCTCACGCCGACGGGCCGCCTGGAGACGTGTGTCGTGGCGGTGGGGAGGCGGAGTGGACTCCGCAGAACCAGTGTCTCCAGCTCCAGTCTCCTCAGAACCAGCACCTCCAGTGCCAGCGCCTCCAGCACCAGCACCCCCAGAACCAGCACCTCCAGGACCAGCACCCCCAGAACCAGCACCTTCTGTGCCAGCACCTCCAGCTCCTGCACCCCCAGAACTAGCAGCTCCAGTGCCAGGACCTCCAACTCCAGCACCCCCAGAACTAGCACCTCCAGTGCCAGCACCTCCAGCTCCAGCACCCCCAGAGCTAGCGCCACCCGCGCCAGCACCTCCAGCTCCAGCACCCCCAGGACTAGCACCTCCAGTGCCAGGACCTCCAGCTCTAGCACCCCCAAGGCTAGCGCCACCTGCGCCAGCACCTCCAACTCCAGCACCCCTCGAACGAGCATCCCGAGACCGGGTACCGCCAGTGGCTGCACCTCCAGCTCCAACACCAACCGAGTCCACAGTAACCTGTCGCGGAAGTACCGAAGACTGCTGAGGGGACTGTGAGGAGGACTGCGGGGAGGGAGACGCTACCTGACGCGCGACCGAGGGTAGAGGGGTAGCATGAGACACACCTGACGGGGCAGGACCAGGGGGGGGTGGGGGTACCGGAGGAGTGGGAGCAGGGGGAAGAGAGGGTGCGAGGAAAAGGGGGAGAGGGGGAACCGGGAGACCTCGACAGGGGTACCGGGTGTAGTAGGACACTGACTCGTCGAACCGGACGTCACGGGAGTCTAGGAACTGGTGCAGGGGCGGGTGGTAAAAGGACCAGTCGGCCGAGGCTACCGGGAAACCAAGGAAGACACAGGGGACGGCGCGAGCCGAGAGCTTGTCCGCGGAGGTGTCGCGGACAAGCGCAAGGCAGCCCCAGACACGAAAAGGTGACCCAACACCAGGGGAACCGGTTCAAAGACTGGTCGGTGAAGCCTCTGGCCGCGAGACGCGCGGCTGGAGGTTCAGCTGGTGAGCGGCGTAGCGAACCGCGTAGGGCCACAGAAAATGGGGCGCACGGGCATGAATCATGGACGTGCGGGCGATGTCCATGACCAAGCGAATGCGGCGCTCAGCAACCCCATTCTGCTGTGGGGACTCCGGCAGCGTCCAGGACTATACGATGCCCTGCTCGCCGCAGAATCCGGCAAGAATGCCTGAGCGAAACTCACCCCCACGGTCAGGGTGGAGACAGGGGACACGACGGCCACGAGTGCCCTCAGTGGCTAGAAGCCACCGGATCAGCGTAGAAGTCACCTCGGACTTCTTCGCGAGAGGAAACACCGTGGTGTACCTGGAGAAGTCGTCGACGACCACCAGAAAGTAGCGCTCCCTCTCAGGTCCCTGCGTAGGTGCAGGGCCCCAGACATCCAAGTGGAGTGTCTGGAAGGGAGCAGTGGCCGGACGAAGGGAGGAGGAGTGCGGAGTGGCACGAAGACGGCTGGCGACGCAAGGAGTGCACGGCGGCGCAGGCGAGGGAGGGAGCGACGGGAAGACGCGAGGGAGACCTGAAACAAGACGGTGACTAGCCATAGTGCGGAGGTGGGGGATCGACGGGTGGCCAAGACGGTGGTGCCACAAGACGGTCCGGTGGGTGAAAGACCGACACGAGCAAGACGCAGCAACTAGACCGGACACAACAACCTGACCGGACACAGCAACCT